TTGCTTCTTCAAGAAAATGCCAAGGAAAAGGCTGTCAGTTTCACAACCTTTCAAGGAATGAAAGTGAAATAGCGCTGGGGGAAACTTCAGTGAGAAAACATTATGTAAGGAGAATTCCTCCCAATCCCCTGCGCTAAGGACTTATCTGGCCCCAGGTAGTAAGAATAAGAGGAAGGCTTCGTGTCTTATTCAAGGGTTGTATTCCAAGTCAATGACAGCTCATGCCCCAATTGTCATTCGTCTGATATAAGTGCTAGATCATGTTGGCTCCAGTGCTGAATGTCTTTTTTACGAACTAGGACTGGGTTCTTTACTCATTAGCTATGATCACCTTAAACACGGGCACTTCTGGTATCCAGCTTGACCTGGGGGTTACAGTGGATGAGAAGCTAGATATGAGTCAACAGTGTGCCCTTGTAGCCAAGAAGGCTAATGGCATATTAGGATGCATTAAGAGGAGCATTGCCAGCAGATCCAGAGATGTCATTATTCCCCTTTATTCGGCTTTGGTAAGGCCGCATCTGGAGTACTGTGTCCAGTTCTGGGCCCCCCACTACAAAAAGGATGCGGACGCATTGGAGAGGGTCCAGCGGAGGGCAACCAAAATGATTAGGGGTCTGGAGCATATGACCTACGAGGAGAGGCTGAGGGACTTGGGTCTGTTTAGTCTGCAGAAGCGAAGAGTGAGGGGGGACTTGATAGCAGCCTTCAACTTCCTGAAGGGAGGTTCCAAAGAGGATGGAGAGAGGCTGTTCTCAGTAGTGACAGATGGCAGAACAAGGAGCAATGGTCTCAAGTTGTGGTGGGAGAGGTCCAGATTGGATATTAGGAAAAACTATTTTACTAGGAGGGTAGTGAAGCATTGGAATGGGTTACCTAGGGAAGTAGTGGAGTCTCCATCCCTAGAGGTGTTTAAGTCTCGGCTTGACAAAGCCCTGGCCGGGTTGATTTAGATGGGATTGGTCCTGCCTAGAGCGGAGGGCTGGACTTGACGACCTTCTGAGGTCTCTTCCAGTTCTGATTCTATGATAAGGGGATGGTTGGATGAAATAACATGATCTTGGTAACTAATTGACCATTCATTATCAGTTGGAAATAGGTCAATGGAGGGATGATAGGAGTTGCTATAGGGAACTTTCTGGGTGTCTGGCTGGTGAGTCTTGCCCACATGCTCAGGGTTTAGCTGATCGCCATATTTGGGGTCAGGAAGGAATTTTCCTCCAGGGTAGATTGGCAGAGGCCCTGGAGGTTTTTCGCCTTCCTCTGTAGCATTGGGCACAGATCACAGCTGAAGGACTCTCTGCATGTTGGGGCCTTCAAAGTATTGGAAGGCTTCAATATCTGAGACATAGGTGAGAGGATTATTCTAAGAGAGGGCCAGATTGGATATTAGGAAAAACTATTTTACTAGGAGGGTAGTGAAGCATTGGAATGGGTTACCTAGGGAAGTAGTGGAGTCTCCATCCCTAGAGGTGTTTAAGTCTCGGCTTGACAAAGCCCTGGCCGGGTTGATTTAGATGGGATTGGTCCTGCCTAGAGCGGAGGGCTGGACTTGACGACCTTCTGAGGTCTCTTCCAGTTCTGATTCTATGATAAGGGGATGGTTGGATGAAATAACATGATCTTGGTAACTAATTGACCATTCATTTCCAGTTGGAAATAGGTCAATGGAGGGATGATAGGAGTTGCTATAGGGAACTTTCTGGGTGTCTGGCTGGTGAGTCTTGCCCACATGCTCAGGGTTTAGCTGATCGCCATATTTGGGGTCAGGAAGGAATTTTCCTCCAGGGTAGATTGTCAGAGGCCCTGGAGGTTTTTCGCCTTCCTCTGTAGCATTGGGCACAGATCACAGCTGAAGGACTCTCTGCATGTTGGGGCCTTCAAAGTATTTGAAGGCTTCAATATCTGAGACATAGGTGAGAGGATTATTCTAAGAGGGGTGGGCGAGATTCTGTGGCCTGCACTGTGCAGGGGGTCAGACTAGATGATCATAATGGTCCCTTCTAACCTTAAAGTCTATGAGTCTATGAGTCTAAATCTGAAGGAAATGGTGTAGATGTTTGTATAGTAAGACCAGCTCAATATTACATATTTTCACCAGCAGTGCTGTGTTGGTTGGGGGTGTGGTTTGTGACTAACATAATTGTGCCATTAAAAGACCCAAGCATAGAGGTAATTGTACTGAAAAAACTGCTCTCGTCCTGTTAGAATTTATTCTGCTTGGGGTAAGGTGGGATAAGCTATTGCTGGCGTAAGATGCGTCCACACATAGAGGCTACATCTATACTGGCATGATTTTCCGAAAATGCTTTTAACGGAAAAGGTTTCTGTTAAAAGCATTTTCGGAAAAGCGTGTCTAGATTGGCAGGATGCTTTTCCGCAAAAGCACTTTTTGCGGAAAAGTGTCCGTGGCCAATCTAGATGCGGTTTTCCTCAAAAAAAGCCCTGATCGCCATTTTTGCGATCAGAGCTTTTTTGCGGAAAACAGTACTGTGCTGTCTACACTGGCCCTTTTGCGCAAAAGTCTTTCGGAATAAGACTTTTGCCTGAACGGGAGCAGCATAGTATTTCCGGAAAAGCACTGACAATCTTAAATGAGATCGTCAGTGCTTTTCCGGAAATTCAAGCGGCCAGTGTAGACAGCTGGCAAGTTTTTCCGCAAAAGCCGATGATTTTCCGGAAAAACTTGCCAGTCTAGACACAGCCAGAGTGTTTTGTCAGTATAATATACCCAATCTACCTACATTGGCAAAGCAATCCTAGTATACTCGTTGCCTACGTTTCCCTCTTTTCAGTGTCTTTCCCAGTTCCATTCCTCCTGAACGGTGACAATTGGCAAGATCACTTCTCCTTAACACATTCTCTGAAGACAAGCATCTCACAATTTTGTGGCAGAAGAGAAAGAGTTCTTGTAACTTAAAAGGGAAAAATCCCACCTACATTTCAATGTAGCTCTCTCATTCAGGCTTTACTCTGTTAAGAATCCTAGTCTGTGTTTATTTGAATTCTCATCTATAGGACTTAATGTAACTGCTAAATTGGACAAAATCTATTATTCTCCCTTTGTATGGATGAGATAATTGAATCACAAACAGTTGAATAAGTTGGAATTAAAACTGTGGCTCCTGACTTCTAGGCCAAGTATCAATATGTGGAAATTGAAGTGAGGGCATGATATGGAACAAAGGCTGTATCTTACTACTCTGTCATTATAAAATGACTTAATGTAACTGCTAAATTGGACAAAATCTATTATTCTCCCTTTGTATGGATGAGATAATTGAATCACAAACAGTTGAATAAGTTGGAATTAAAACTGTGGCTCCTGACTTCTAGGCCAAGTATCAATATGTGGAAATTGAAGTGAGGGCATGATATGGAACAAAGGCTGTATCTTACTACTCTGTCATTATAAAATTCTGGTGGGGTTTGGGCGGGTGTAGGGTGCAGGAGTGGGTTGGAGGTCCGGGGTCTGGGCAGGAGGTAGGGTGCAGGAGTGGGTTGGAGGTGAAGACAGATTGAGTGAGAATTATGGATAGCAACTGCCTTTATTTATCTAAAGGCTGAGGATTACCTTCCTGAAGAGTGAGAAAGTAGTTCAGTCTCAAATTTCATTCAAATGTATCCTTTGTTTCAGCAAACCTTGGAACAGACAAATTGTAGCAAATATGTAATTTTGACATGAAAAACAGACCAATAGGACCTGCAATGAAACCACAAATTCAATTCAGCTCAGCTCAGGCCTCAAATGGGATGGAAACAATGTTCTTTTGCTATTTAAAATAAAGGGGGGGGGAGGGGGGGGGGGAAACTCCTTAACTCTTTCAGCTCTGAAAAATATTGAAACTTTCTTTTTTACTAAAATGGATTGATTTAGTGAAATGTGCACTGATGCTACTTTATGAGGGTTACATGGGGGAGAGATAGCTCAGTGGTTTGAGCATTGGCCTGCTAAAGCCAGGGTTATGAGTTCAATCCTTGCAGAGGCCATTTGGGGCCAAAATTCAATAACTCCTTAACTCTTTCAGCTCTGAAAAATATTGAAACTTTCTTTTTTACTAAAATGGATTGATTTAGTGAAATGTGCACTGATGCTACTTTATGAGGGTTACATGGGGGAGAGATAGCTCAGTGGTTTGAGCATTGGCCTGCTAAAGCCAGGGTTATGAGTTCAATCCTTGCAGAGGCCATTTGGGGCCAAAATTCAATCAGGGATGGTACTTGGTCCTGCTGTGAAGGCAGGGGCCTGGACTCAATGACCTTCAAGGTCCCTTCCAGTTCTAGGAGATAGAAACATTTTAATAATAATGGAGATTGCCTAAGTGCCTAGTTTGCACTAGTAGGAATAGGGGTGAGGCCTCAAGGAATGAATAATTAGTGTTGTGTTGAGTAGTTTTTGACTCTCTGGTTAACCCAGGAAATATAGTCCACTGGGTTGCATGCTGACTGAAGATTGGGGTTCCATTCCTAACACTTTCACTGATCTTCTCTGTGACCTGGAACAAATCACTACTGAACCATTGTTTCTCCTCAGTTTGTCTGTCATGCTTATTTAGATTGTAGGCTTGTTTGCACTACCCAGTACAAATGGGCCTGCCAGTTGTTTAGATCATGGAAACAATATTAATAACATCAGGTATATCATCCGGGTTACTGTCCAGTTAGATGACAGCTTTAAAATACATTGGATAAGGCCAGACTTAAGACAAGAAAAAAGCAAGTAAGCGGTAATTAGCAAATTACATGTTTGTTTTCTTGTTTATCTCTAGGTTATCAACCAAATGAGGTTCCCAGTCTTTACTAGAACAGAGCCCAATCGCAAGCTCTTTGAAGTGATTCCATTCATATCAGTGGGCTTTACACTAGACTCTTAGAGCAGTACTTGTATTAGTAGCAATATTTTATAAAACATGAAATAGTATTTATTATTAACAACATAATAAGCAAAAGGCTAGGGGTTACCTCCCAGAAAGACAAGAGAAGTTCTGTCTCATAACGCCTTCTCAAGTCTCAGCTCACATAATTACTGCTTGTTTTGGCATGGGCTGGATGGGAAAATAGCGTCAGCCTGTATCTTTACAGGTATTTTTCATATACTACAAATTTGATTTATACTACTATAAGATACAACCTTAACATTTATGTATTACCACAGTATGCAGATTTCTCACACAGCTTCTAGCAAGATATGTACACAGATTCTTAAGAGAACAATACAGAATAAAATTGAAAAAAAATGTGGAAAATTATAAATCCAAATGAGCATATGCATCCATTTATTAGGCAAGCCTGAAGCCTTTTTCACAATGTCATTGATTACAATCATGCTACTGTATCTCAGTGAATACAGTCTGACATCATATGCTTGTAGTGGAATCATACAGGATCATCTTATTGCTATCAGCACTGGAAAGTGACAGAAACCAGAAGGCTGATGAAATTTCAGTTTTGTTCCTAAATTTATTTACATTGTCTTACTTGCACCGACAGCAGAGGTTTGCAATGTTCTGGATTTACTGAAGGTCTGACGGTGAGCTCACAGAAGTCAAAGTCAAATCTCACCTTCATTTCAGTGATGTCGGACCAAATCCTTTCACATTATAAAGTGCATTGCCTTTCTCTACCGGCATCCTCCAGCACTGGTTGAAAAAAAAAAAAACTGTTATAAAGATAAAGAAAACAGAATGTTAAGCAATCTAATAAAACCGATTGCAATTTTGAAATATTGCCTTCACAAGTAATGGATCTCCTTTGTCTAGGAGGAAGATGCAAAAGGCTGCTATTTTCTGATTTCTATACAGACATTGAGGATAGGAGTAGGGTGGGGATTTTCCATTTTTATTATCTTGTGAACATCATTAGTCTCTTTGGTCAGACTGCTAGGCGCCTCCTGGAGCTTAACCTCAGATTAGCATCTGCTTCATTTTAGTGTCTGCCTCATAATGATATCAATAAACATAGCCTTCATACAGTAAAAATTGATAATTAAATCTGTGCTAGCTGACTCAACATCTCCTGTGCCCTGGGGAATAATTATGGATAATGAGGATTTAATGGATCAAAATATTTTATGTTTTACTGAATAATGAACACGATGACCTTGAAGGGTGATCGAGAGGTTAATCACTGATGGCTGGGGTTTATCGAGAGCTCATGCAGAGTGCAGACAGGATCAGGAAAAGCTCTCACATTATTCCAAACTTCAGGCCAAATTTAATGTGGGTGAAACTCTGTTGACTTCAATGCAGTTAGAGCTGCTTATACCAGGTCTGAATTTCACCCTTCCTCTTTGCATTACTGGCATCTGTAAAAGAATGGTCCAAATGAGAAACATGGGTTAGTAAGGTATCTCCCTGTATATGCATTTGTAATGAATAGGCTTTGTATACTACCCTAAGCAAGTCTGCTATAGGGTTTAGTTGCATGGACCATTTTAGGAGCAGCATAAAAAAGCAACTTTCCTGATGTCCTTGTAGTTTGTCTGTTTCTCTTATCTAATTCCTCAGTAAAGGGTGAAGCATAAGCAACGTTCTGGACAAACCTGTGAGACAAGCCACACAGGGCTTCTGAAGAGACAGGCACTTGCATATATTTACATGTGGGGCCCCTATTAAGAACTGTGCATATTTCAATAATGTTAGTAGCTTACCTTTATACAGCTTGGCTGTGTCTAGACTGGCAAGTTTTTCCGGAAAATCAGCAGCTTTTCCGGAAAAACTTGCCAGCTGTCTACACTGGCCGCTTGAATTTCCGGAAAAGCACTGTAAAATGTAAAATCATCAGTGCTTTTCCGGAAAAACTATGCTGCTCCTGTTTGGGCAAAAGTCTTTTTCCGAAAGACTTTTGCACAAAAGGGCCAGTGTAGACGGCACAGTACTGTTTTCTGCAAAAAAAGCCCCGATCGCGAAAATGGCGATCGGGGCTTTTTTGTGGAAAAGCGTGTCTAGATTGGCCACGGATGCTTTTCCGCAAAAAGTGCTTTTGCGGAAAAGCGCCTGCCAATCTAGATGTGATATAATACCACAATACCATCTGCCCATTGGAAACAACATAAAATGGGAGCTCTTTTCAACATTACATACCAAACTCAATCCTGAAGAATTCCAAGTAGCCAAAAAGGGACTGCTGGGGATGCCTGCACCAATTGCTATAAAGAACTAACTTTAGATGAGAAAAGAGGTAAGAGGACAAAGTTTCATTTACTATGTGAGTTTCTTTTTGTCTTAGTGCAGCTGATGCCACTGTTGAAAATATGAAAGAATCATTGCTTCCAAAGATGGACTAAGGATAAGAATTTCTTCCTAGATCAGCTTTAGGCTATATGAGGCAACTGGATTTGTAGTTAAACCAGAACTAGGACTTGAGTTCAATTAATTATTCAGTGGCAGTGAAATCTTGTGAGGTGTGTGTGCAAGATAGTGTGAATCTCCCTAAATAAGATGCTCTTTTGATTTTTCAACTGGATCTCAAATGACATGAGAAAATTTACCCTGTCTGTTTTGGATCCAATCAGGAATGAAAACCACTGGGGAACTTTCACATCTGAATCCTCTTCCCCTGCCCCCAAAACCTTGAAGTATGGAGGTATTGAATTTAGCTTGCCTTGAATTGCTTCTGAAAGAGTAGCTGAATGCACTTTGCTAATTATTCCTGTTTGGCTGGGTTACAGTCAAATTTACCAAGTTGAATTTTAAAAAAAAATCCCTCCTCCTTCCAGGAGTGTCTCAGATCTGGTCCTCATAGTTATTCTCTTTCTGTATAATAAAACACATTATTTTATCTATCAGTTAAATAGTCGCTGATTGAAATCTTGACCTCACTGAAGTTGAGAGTTTTACCATTCACTTTAATCGGGTGTAATCCTAGCCATAGTATTTAGGTCGTTATTTTTAAAAACGTATTTTAAACTATTCTTAAAATTCATTATAATAATCTGTGCAACATGAATTTGAGATTAATACTTATTTAAGTGTGTATTATTGATCCAGTTGGTCCCACTTGGACTTAGAGAAAAAAATAAATGTGTTCTGTGGGAAAAAAATATCAACATGAAATGGCCAGCTATATAGTTTCTGTTGGTTTAAAAACAGAAGCTAAAGCAAAGCTGTCAGAAGTAATTTATTTTAAAAATATTTGTATATGTATTTATTTTGTATTGAGGGGAACTTTTTATTTCAAAGTGGGTTTTCTACATTTGGCCAAACAGTATTTTGTATAATTTGTGGCACTGAAATAGGCTAACAGAGTTTTAAAAAGGGGGATACACATTAATCTGAAGGAGAAGCATCGCTGTCACTTGGTGACATTTTACAGCAGAGTTTAACCATAATGCATTTGCAACTAGCTAGCAGCTAGAGCACAAAGTTGGTGTAGCAGAAGTTTAAATAAAGGAACATAGTCTTAACAACATCAATATGCATGTGCCATTCTTAAAGTGAAGGCCTGACTGGCAACTATTTTGAATAAGGTGTGTTGGGAAGATTGATATGCTGTACTGATCATTAGTTTTATCATTGAAAAAGGGAACAAAGCAGGAGAGAAGACCAGAGCCTTTTGACAACTCTCTACCACTAGAGGGCACATCAACATTTTACAGTATTTAGTTTAAAAAAAATGGAGTTTTATTTTGCATCAGAAAATAGAACTTTGATTAGGAGTCAGGAAAACTAGTATAGCTGAATGACTGTATGGTCTGGCAGAACAAGTGCAGGGCTGGGAATATGGAGGGTCTGAGTTCTTAATCTTTGTCCTGCTATTGATTCACTTGGTGAAATCTTGGCCCTGTTCAAGTCATTGATGTGAGTGGGACCAAAACACCACAAACTGTGCTGCTCTGAGCATATCAGTTCACCATTCCGTCTAAGGTGCTTCATTGACTTTACATGGGTTCTAGAGACTACCCCCCTGGAGGTCCTTGTAGGATCAGGACTTCCATTTCCTGATCTGTTAACTGGGAGTAATAATGCTTACCTAGCCACAGCAATGTTGAGAGGGTTAATTGATTAACCTCTGTACCGTGCTTTGAATATATAAAGCATTGTAAAAATGCTAACAGCTCTCTTTAACCTAGCAGTGCTGTTTCCTTTAGCATGTTTGTAAAGATCCTCAGCTGGCCAGTGTTATTAATTAATTATTATTAATGAGACTCAAACCCTAAGACTGCATGTCCACTGCTGCCTTGGAAAAATTCCGTTAGGTATAATTCGACAGATTAAAGTGAGAAATTGCTTTTAGTAAAGTGGAAGTGCCAGTTCATATCCTCCAATAACTAATGCCCCTAGAAATTTCTGGAAACATCTAAACTCTTCCCAGACTCCTCCAGCTCACCACATAAGTTACCCTTTTAAAGGAACAGTAATTCTCAAAGGGCTATAATTGGCCTGCACTTCTCGAGTATAGAGATAGCACCTTCCATCTGAGCATGTTAAATGCTTTGTAGGCATTATTGACTGTAACCTTGCAGACCTCACCTGAGGTAAGTGTTTTTTCCGTCTTACAAATGAGTAATCTGAGGTACAGTGAGATAGCTATTTTCCTTGCGAACAGTTGAGTGCTAACAGGGAGTTTTGAGAGGGAGTTCTCCAGGTGAAGAAGAAGCAGATACAGGACTCTTGAGGGAAGTGTGTTTTGTTATTGGGGCTTTCTTACTGTGTGCTGAGCTTATGCTTGTGACGTGTGTGGTGGTGGT